ATATATATATATATATATATATATATATATATATATCTTGTTTGTTTATTCGCTTATTTCATGCTAAGGAAAGCATGGGGTATGATGAAGGTGGAAGATATCTTTTTGCAGAGATATGTGTAAAAAGAAAATAGAAAAAATGTGTAAAAAGAAGAAGGGGGTTCAAGAGTAGAAAATTTTTGATGATGTGTTAGAGAACTGGGTTAGGTTAACCTTTCCTCAAGTTTTCGAGAGAGAATAGTGATATTGTGTAACAGACACGCTGAAAAGTAAAGAAACATTTGGAAAATTTGTGACAGTTTTTAAGCTGTTTACAAAACTGTTGCTGAAAGCGTAAGTTATATGGGAGTTTTAGAAATCTTTATACATCTTGTTATTATGAATAAAGTGAAGTGTAGGTAGTACCTAATTTTAGTTTTATCTGCAGAAGGTTTATCAAATGTGCCTAGCGTGATAAATGTGTAACACAGTGATACATTTTTTTTAGCATTCATTAGGTTACTGTAGCTTTTCTCTTTTTTTTTTTTTTTTTTTCTTTTTTTAAATGAACTTGTCACCGAACGAAACACAGCAGAGAAATCATGTTCATTGGGAAGCTAGAAATTTAAACAAGAGGCAATTATCCTTCTTGCATCTGGCATCATCACATCTTGTTGCTCTTAGCCAGTAGCTAAGAACAAATTTTATTGTCTTTGACAGCTTAAGCCAGATGTTTTGTAAGTCCGACAGACTTATTTCATCGTTTGATACGTTTTTGGATAAATATGAAAGTTAACAGCGATTGAAGATTTACAGAAGATGGTTATGGAGTGAAAAATCTTCCATAGTGTTATGCCTTGAAAAATATAACTTGGTAAATGAAGCACATGCTGGTCTAGATGCTCACAGTTTGATTGGCAATTGTATCGTCGTTTTGGGTCGTAACTCTCGAAATAGGTTTAAATTCGAAGGAATTGTTGTAATGTTCCAAAAACTTTTTCTCGCATTTGCAGTTTTGTAATCTGCAAAGTGTTATCTATCACTTATATATATCTCCAACACGAATTTCTAGATTAGGAGATTGTGTGAAAAATTTAGCCTTTTGATTTCTACGCTGAATTGTTATACAATTTTTGGTGGAAATTTTCTCACTGCAACATACTTTCTTCGGGGAAGGTTTATCCGCGTAATTTAGATGAATTTAAGCGATGTCATAAATTGTGCGGTAAAACTCATGTGGCAGAGCATTATTGAACAAATTAATTTGCGGAGTTAGAGGAAAGTACGTTAAAAATTACGTTACACTGAAGAGGGAGAGTAGCTCTGTGAAACCAGCAATGAGAACTCTCGCAAATTCTTTAGATTCTTACCAATCTATATTCGATGCACCATTCCGTTACAAAATAATTTTACCGGTTCTTTTTGCATTTTTATGGCATACAACTGGTGCAAAGTATTTACGTTAGTCATGGTTCACTGTAGCTTAACTGGAGGTTCGCATCCATTTTCAGCGTGCGGCGAAGATGCAAACGACATTCTTAAGGCATTTACATGGCGTCCTGTTACGATGTTCTGGAGGAAAAAGAAGTCGCTTGTCCTCCATTTGAGTTGGGAATTCAGATTCTTTGTTTGCAAGAATTTTCGATGTATATAGTCATTCAAGGCCATTGTTACTTTTTATCCTTATATGGTTTGGCGGTGCGAAAAAGACGTTCTGTACAGGAAGTTTTTGTAGTTGGTCGCGTCACGCGGTATATTTTGTTTTAAATTTTGTGTCTTTAAGAGTTACGAAGTCTGTTCAGTGAAGTACAGAATCTCTGAGAGCCGGGTGCTGGGGGTTGTAAATGTGCGCAGTGCCATAGGAGACAGGAATGGACTGGAAAATTCATTTCGCCATTAAAGGTGTAGATGAGTGAAAGGATAATTTGTTGTGGAAATCTTTCCTTCGT